GGGACACTTTTTAAGACATGGGTCACATGCTGTCGCCCGACAAGGTCCAAATAAATGCTCGTAACTCTCTCCATACATGGGCGATTCCTCGTTCATGGGCGATTCTCTCACCAGCCCTTCCGTAGAGTCATACCCAGGCACTGGGCAAGATTGCCCGTGAAGATTGTGGGTCGTGGCCTGGAATGTTCTTCCTAAGGAGACTTCACACACCAGCAACACGTGGTGACGTTGTAGCCCCAACTTTACCTGCCTCCGGGCAAAACGGGTGCACGATAGCCAATCGTACGGTCAGGTGTCGGCAGAAAACTCAAGTGGAAGCTGCAGGTCTCTTTTTGCGAAAAACTCAAGTTGTGTAGGTCCACTGGCGGTGACGTTAGGGGAGAAAATTGGTCCAAGTGGTGAGCAGAACAAGTGTTGGGCGACATTTGATCGCGATCGAACCTACGATAGAGTAGAAAATGTGCCCGAGTCGCGGGATGAGTCCTCTCGAAAACTAAACGGTGGCTGCTTCAAACCTGTAGTGATATTTCTCCCGTGTACCTGATACTTCATGTACAAACGAAGCGGACCATTTTCGAGCATTAGGAACCAAGCCATCTGACACTCAACTCGCTCGACCGCTTTCATGTACAAACGAAGCGGACCATTTTCGAGCATTAGGAACCAAGCCATCTGACACTCAACTCGCTCGACCGCGCACCTAAGCTCCACTCCTAGCAGCTCTGTACACACACACAAGCACACGCACACAAAAGCACACACCACGGTTTTGGAGTAGTCGTGCGCCTTGCCCGAAGCCCTCGAGAAATATCGTCCGTTGCCATATCTCAACTGAAAACTGGAGGAGCGCGCGGTTCTCCCAACGTTGTCCACTGTGAAGCCTTTCCTGCAAATATTGCAGAGGCTGCACGTCCGACGGCCGCACGGCCCTACCTGCGGCGGTGCAGGGAATGTTCTTGGCGTTCACACCGTCGCCCCTCTCACAAGAATGGGAGACAATGCTGAAATTTGTGTAGGATCCACAGTTCCAAACATGAGAAACTGAGCCTCGAAACGAATTGTAGGTTTCTGTGAGGGGATCGGTACTGTATCAGCCAGTGACGGGGGCGGTTCAAGCTACAAAATAGTGCACAAGGGAAGGTGCTGAACACCGGCGAGCAAGGCACATAGATGGCAAGGAAGGCAAGCGCTAAAAGAGATCGACCTTTGAAAGGATGCATGTATTCAGAAACAGAGATTTCAAAGACCCGTTGATGCCACTGCAAGGATCAAGCGTCTACCAGTATCTTGAATTCGAAACAAGTCAACATCCAAACTTGTAACTCGCCAATATCACATGGTACCCCGACGGCAGAAAGAGTGACCGCACCTGTTCCTTGACGAAAAAATCACATGTTGAGTGACAGCGCGTGCCGTGGTACGCGACGCAGACATTTCCCTTGGAGGCGTGGTAGGCCTCAATCTTCCTTGCAAGATCATCGTTTAACTGGTTCGTTCGGTGTCGGGTGAGCGAATTGGTTAGCGTGTGTTTACATCACAATCCACATAGATTGTGACCAGTGATCAATACCATACAAGTACCGGACTTCTCCCTGCCATGGAATTCTGCGCATCACCGGTAGTGCGCCTCTCTGGCCGAAACAGAGAGGTGGTGTGATTTATAACTTCCACAGGGAGAGCCATTGACGAAACTCTTCGCGCGTAAGACCACGGCGGAAAACCAACGGTTCGTGTATGAACAGACGCCATTTGGCAAGGACTCGCACCCCCAGCAAGAACGCGAATTCCAATGCTGTTACCTGGATCTCGTAGATCCTCGCAACGTCGGGTGCTGCGCCTTTCTTCCAGCATTCCCGGAACTGGTTCGCGAGAACTTCGAACTGCGGGTGGTCAGAAGCAAGCCTCAACACAGTGAACTCCGTCATGGCCTTGGGGTGCCACACTCTGAACCCTGCGGTGACATCATCCTGATCACCGTCCGTTGCCTTTGTCTCCTGCCCCATCTCTATCGCTGCCCAGTACGGTGCATGGTTGGTATAGGCGTGTACTCGTGAGGAACGTACCGTGAAGCCCACGACCCCTCCGTTGCGCGTGCCAGCACTATAGGATAGTAACACCACGCAGCCCTGCAAAAATGAGACGTTTACACGTGCAGCAAAAAGAACAACTTCCCGTGGAGGGTTGGGCTTACCAAATAATGTTTTTGTATATCTTCTCCCATGTGTGCGCGTCCATCACACGGCGGTGTGTGTGGGATCGTGCGGTACATACATACGGATAGCCATGGGTATCCTCCAATTGTTTGCATGTGGATGACTGTTGTAGGGCCACAAACGGAAAAGCGACATGCTGTACACACGCTGGACAGGTCTCTTGGTTTCAGAACGGAGACCACAGGTTGCAGTGCCTTGTCAAACACCTTGACCCGCTGAATCGCACCACGTCAACCTTGTGCTCGGAGTATGAATTGTTTGGATTCTATTTAAAAGGCAGTGACACCGCCTCTATCCTTGAACTACAACGGTACGAAAAGTTAACGGTGGACAAACGATGTGATCGGGTAACATTTGTGATTCTCTCGCATATTTACATAGTGATAGTCCACCTCCCTGTGGTTAACAGTCTCAACAAGAGTTGCGAAAATTGTAATGCTGTGCTTCATGCGCACAGGCATGATATGTATTCAAGCAAAAGGTGGCGCGGCCCAATCGCAGTAGCGTTGCGAGATGTTGCCACCAAAAGTAAGGCACGACCACCACCCTCCCTCCAGCTCTACCGCTGGGCGCTTCGTCACCTGAACAGCTGCCATGAGTGAGGTGAAGAGCGCAAAACCGAGCGTGGGTCCGTATCGGATCGCGTGGAAGTCTTTGGGGCGTAGCGAGCGGCGAACATGGCCATCCCCGACGAGCAGAACCGGACAGAAGGACGACGGCGTGCATAAATGAATGGGCTCGTAATAAAGAGAATCCCTATGCGGCCGGGTACACGAACGAGTTAACTACATTCATTTTTGGTTATCGTAGTTCACAAACGAAATGGGCTTATCGAATGCCTTACCAACCTCGCTCGCGGTCACAAGGGAACCCACCCCGCGTCTACATCCGGTTCCCACGTCGTGTTTTCTGGCAATGCTAGGTACCTATCGATGTTTGAAGACTGCTTACGTACGCTTTCACGTTTTCAGAGATCAGAAAAACTTCTGCCGGGGTGCCAACAGCGCACAGGCGGGCTAAAGAAGCCACGACCGCCGGGGAGCAGCTCACATCGATTCCGAATCCCTGACATCATGCAGAGAACGACGAGCTGCGTCAAGGCGTACAGCACGAGTGAGCACCCTCCCAACCAGCCCAGGTAGGTCGACGTTTCGGAGCTCGCCTCTCGCGTTTTTGTTGGAGCAATGGCGGACCCCACGAGCATCGCGAAAGCGAAAGAACAGCAACAGGTAGCGAGCTTCTGGAAGTCGACGGCAGCTTTGTCTGACAACAAGGCGTTCACACCAGAAGGAGAACGCGGTGCGTGACGGATAGGTAGGTGCTGAGTTACGACGCGCGGAGTTACGAGCGTGCAAACATATCTCGGAGAAAAGCTCTCTGGCTTGGATGCGGTGTTCGTTTCCGTGTGCCACATGCTTGTTGTGCCGCAGATTATCTCCTTAACTTTTGATGTTTGTGTTGATAGCGCGTAATGGGCGTATCATGCGACGGGGGCAAGTATACACCACTCACATGTTCCGCAATGCTCCTCGTCGCTGTTCGTGCAGGAGTCCAACTTGCCTCTGTCACGAAGCCAACCATCGTCGACAGCAATGATCACGGAAAACAAGAACGTAATCATCGAGCTGGCTGCAGTCCTCCAATAGTGAACCGATTGGAACCCGTTCTGCTGAGGGCCGAAACGAGCCTGCAAGAACGATTCGGCGAGGAAAGAGGGTTCGCGGGAGTGGGATGGATCGAGTTTGGTAGAACATTCTTGGCTCCAGCAACTGCATGTACGTGATGGCGAGTTCACCTGTGAACGGTGCAAGCTTCCCTACAAGACTAGGACTTTGGCCTTTGGGTTAGGGTTAGGGTTATTCCACTCACAAAGATCGGGCCATGGACGCGGCACTTTGGGTGCCACCGGAAGATGCCGAACGCCTGCGCAGCAGCAACGAACACGCTCGTCACGGCAACGGCGAAGGTGTCGCCGTAGGGGCCGTCCTTTAAGTCTGGCAACGTGTTGGACGGGCAGAGAAGAAACAACACAAGTGCTGGAAACGAGAGGACACACTGCATATCATCTCAACCGTGCAACGATTCTCCTCGGCGCGCACGCGATCGAGACGATAGACGCGGCCTGCGGTGCTTTCGTTCTCTCGGGTGAGCCTCACGTTCAGAAAGCTGTCGACGGGTGGCGCCGTACGACGCTGGTTTCCGAAATATCACATATCACAAGGTTCATCAATCAAAACTACGGCCGTTCGGTGATACAGGTATTTCATGTTCGGTCAGATTAGTGGGGCTGTATCGCATGCTCATGCCTCCAAAAGCGAAAGAGTAACTACGTGTCAACGACGACCTTGAAGCGCTTGGAAATGACACCCAAATGAACCAAAAGCGGTAACAACATCCTAGCCAAGCGGACTCGCCTCTTAGGCTTGAGGGTGAGCGCTTCTTTCTCACCAGGCGGTAACACCCCGCGATTGTCGTCAACACGTTCGAAAATGGGATCGACGCACCTCATATGTACCTAATTACGAGGAAAGTGTTACCACAGAAGGAGCACCTTGCATGCACACGATCGGTATGGACTTCGTCTGTGGTCTTCTTGGTCGTGTCGTTTGAAACATTATTAAACAAGTACCAGAGCAGTCGTGGCCAAGGGACATTGGGCCTTTTGAAACGCCGGGCGGGAAACTCTCCCCAACGTCACATTCTCACATTCCTCCTTGATACCCGCCACGACGGCGAACGCCAGCAACTGCGTAGCGGCGTAACACAGGAGCCCCCAGGCTCCGGTCTTCACGAGCTCCTGACGTTGAAGGACATCAGGCACGAGAGATCCGACAGGCCGTTCGATCATGGTAGCCAGCGCCAGTGCTACCACCGCACATGAGCATACCACGGTGGCCAGATACTGGATCAAGGTGGCGATGTAGTCTGGTGGGGGTTCCAATGATGCCGAACGACGACCGGGCGGGGAAAACGATCTGATGGCGTGGAAAGGACGGTTGTGGTGTCCTCGTGCAGAGGGGAGGAAAGAGTGAACGGCCAATGCCTTGGGTTAGGTCGAGCTATTTTGTGAGATTTACCCTACAGCTTTGTCGCGGTTTGAGTTGGTCTTGTCAGACAGCAAATTGTACTGTCAAGTGCTCGATTGTGTTGCCTGTGAGCACCTCCTCTACAAACCCTGGAGCGACGTAACATACGTCTACATTATCTCAGGGCCCACGCCAACGACCGCAACAGAAAATAAAGTACTAAAAACATGTTGAACATGAGTCAGTCGTACATCCAGGGCAGAAGTCGTCACTCGAGTAGACTCTGCAAGTCCCGCCCAATGCGAGAGCCACCGGAGATCCGACCCATTGGTTGCCAGCTGCTCCCTCAACCGCAAACGGCCAAGTAATGAGCAGCGCGCTGACGATTACGGCGTGATACGCGTTGTATACAGTGCAGTAACGCCCCTGTTGCAGACCGAAAGGGAGGGATTTCTTGTCAAACAAACGGGAGTATCATACGCAAGCGAGTCACGGCCCCTGGGCCGTGCGTACAAGATTTCCCATGGTACAGCTCTGCACCGCTCGAAAAGCGTGTGGGAGGCACCCGTTCCAGAGGAGTGCAGCGCCTTGGCGGTTGCAGTACGTACCACGGGCATACTATGCGATTATCACTGCCCGCGCAAAACTTTCACATGCGGTGACACTCACAACATCATGAGCAGTATTCTCCTTGTAGACGATGCCACCGTTGAATGTGCCGTGGTCGCGAAGTCGCGACAGGGCGAACGCCTGCACGATCGCGAACACGGTGGCCGTGATGGCACAGTTGTACGCGTCGCCTCGGCTTATTGCCGATAAATCTGCAATTTCCCACGATTCGTTTCAAAGGGCTGGGATGTTAAAGTGCACCCCTTCAGTGTGTTTTAAGCTCACGAATTGATTTGGCCACGGGCTCAAATCTGACGTCCACACAGTCCGCGACGTCGTCACCACTGGTGGCCATACGCCAGCGATAGACAATGATCAGAACGTCTACATACTTGTCAATCGCTAAAAACGGTGGGGGTGTTGCTACGGCAAAAGATGTTGTTGGAGTGGTTCCTCGCCGCGGCGAAGTCTGCGAGACAAGTTTCTGCAGCCAGCCGTCCAAAGGCTACTCTTCGCGCAGACGTTCATCAGCAATCGAGAAGCTCACCGCGATTCCTTAGGTCCGTCATCACGATGAACACAAGAATCTCCGCCACGGTGAACACCAGCAACCCCCACACGCCGGCCCTGCCGAGCTCACGCGACGAAATCAGGCCGCTTCGCCAAGGTGGCGGTTGTCCCGCACCCCTCACCCCTTCGACCGGGGAGTGGATTTCGCCCCCGTAGCCTTTTGCGAAGGCTGAAAGAGCGAGGAGCAATACCGCCGCCGAGCACGCCAGCGTTGCGATGTATTGGAATGCGGTTGCAGTCGCGTCTGCGATGTGGCGAGAGAAAAAACGGCAAGTTTTTTTGTTCGGTTCGCTCTTGGCAATGTGAACCATTCGATGAGAGCTGTACTAAACAAAGACTATTCCTGCAATGGCCTAAATTTCTGGCGGTCGACGTCGAGCCAGACGTTGCTTCAGCTCTTCGGGATATTCCATGCCTTTGACACTCTTTCGCCAACCGCAAGGGTAGCATAGAAGCCGCAGAGCGATCGTCCCTTTGACATGTATGGTACCGTTTCTATGCCCCCCGTCAACATTTTCAAGAATTCACACCACTTTTCGTCGAAGCTACATTAGTCAACAACGGGGGAGCCGAACACCTTCATTCATCACCCAAAGCATCGCAATGTTGGGTGTTTCGTGCCAGAATGGACGTAGACCGCTTTCTGCCTTCGACACTTGTGTCTGTTTTCCACAAAATTTTGGCCGTTGCACACGCAGCTAATGCATAGTTGTTGGCCCCGCACTGGCGAGCGGCGTGACTCTTCGTTTCCTCATCCCAACAATACAAACTGATACAGGTTGGTCGGGCTGTTTTGCGTGAGCGGCACTCACACCGGGCGCAGAAGCCGCCGCCGCCGTAGCACTCGTCTCCAAGACTGAAGTTGCCGCTTTGAAACCATGTGTCCGCAGCCGCTGCCACGACGGCCAATATCCAGGTTAACACAGTGCTAAGCACCACCCACCAATACACCTAATATCGCGAGTCGTGTGATGAAGTTCGGGGGACAAAATGCACAGGGTAGCAGGCGATGCCGAGGGCCGGGTGACGCGTTGTGTTTCGCGCTGGTTTCCGCTTTCTGCGTCACTCTTGTATTGTCCATGGCCGAGAGGCACACACAGGTGTTCCAGGAGACCGTAACCACGTGAGCTACATGCCACTCACTAACGAGCACCCAACGCCACCAGTGGTTGGTGCTGACATGTGTTCCAAGGTCTATGCTCCCTCAGACTCTACTTTATAGACACCTTCTGTTTAGACGGTGTGATGGTAGAGGCGGCGGCTGCTGCTACTGATAGGAAGTGCCGTTCATGCCCCACAGGGCCCGCTCTTGGAAAAGGTGCGCCAAAGCAGCATCCAGGAACCATCGTCGAAGCTACACAGTAGTACGCCGTCACGAGGCAGTGTATGACGGCGTAGGGCATGATCAAGTTTCCCTAGGTGAGGTAAATCACTTACTATCCGATCGTATGATATTCGGGGGACATGGAAGATCGGCCTAATTTTGAGTCGCTTCTACTCAGGGCGCATTTGTCCGACATGAAACGGCGCAACAACAACAACACCACCACCAACACCTGCAACGAGAGCTAGGTTGCAACCTAACCACGTGAAAATCCTGCTAGCTGTGTACGTACATGTCGACTCTACCTATGAATGTGGCGTGCACCGTGTGGTGTGGTGTGGTGTGTGTCTTGTGCATACCTCGTCCTTCTCAGGGTCGTACGCGTCTACCGGCATCGCCCTCTGCGCCCGTACAAAACAGTCTCAGCCGATCTCAAGTGCAGCGAGTGCCGATGTACAACGTGGAACGAGGGGAATCCACCTCCTGTTCGACGACGAAGGAGCTGAAACAGTTCCTACGTAAGAAATAATCCCACCCCTGCAACACAGCGAAAGGGGACGCGGCACGTGCAAGCGCATCGGGGTAGGGGGTTGAGAAGGGTGGGTCAACGGGAGGCGGATTCATGATCTCTCAGGGTCAAGAGTAAGAATTGCAAACGGTGGCGGAAACCTGCTATAATAGAAGCATAACAAAACCTAAGACCCGCAACGAACACGTCTTGTGTGAAATAGTTAGGGCGGCAGCTCCGCTGGGGAGCCTTGACAAGTGTATCGTTGAGAGAGCTATTAATCCATTCAGGTGCCAGGTCGAGTACGCGAATCATGGAAACGCTGCTCACTGCCGACGCCATCGGGTGCTATTTATTTCCTCCGCACGTTGTTAGACATTGTTGATTTATGGTATTGTCCTTACATATAGACGCACACTATCACCACTTTTTTTTATTCGTCACCAACAAAGCAGAGAGAGAGAGTTGTTTTAGAGTCACAACGATCACAATATTATACTTGTACTAGATGAATAAAACCACAACATAACAACAACAACGAATCAATTAACACCCGGACACCCTAACCCTCAGACATATGGATGACTATCACGCTCTTCCGAGGGTCTGTACGTCTTTCTGCGGGTCATCGTAATATCGCTCATCATGTCTGTCTGCGAATGAATCATGATGTTGGGGCGGTAGTCTATAGACTAGCCTAGATGAGTAGCTCGAGCTTGGAAACACAACAACCCGTCCCTTGGAAGCCGGTCGCCCCGGTGATCTATCTACCTAGTGGTAACAACCTCGAAACCGCTAACGGCAAAGTCGTGAGTTCGAATCCCTTGACTACGGGGTGAAAAATTACAAATTTGAGGGTGAAGGCGAAAAGCTTAAAGCTCTTGAGCCAACCCTTCGACGTTAGCACCGTTGACGAAGGAAAGGGACGGCTGGACCCTTCTCGCGACAACAACATAGATTCGACTGAGGTTGTATCTCGTATCTCGAACAGGTAGTCTTTTCTGTGAGGTTAGTCCATGTTTACTTTCTAAAAATAAACTCAGCACGCACCGCAGGAGGATACACGAAGGGAACGTAGACTACATGTACAGACGTAACAGCTGTCAGTCGCCCATTTTCGGTTCCTACGGTGGCGGGCTATCAAGCCGCCACATTCACGGGATATCTACCTTTTGCCTTTGGAGAACCTGCATCTACGTCTACATGTGTGTCTACTAAGTAGAAGCAAGGTACATACTTGTTGAACTCGGTTGACCCGCAGTTTCTACGCTGTTTTCCGCACTGGGTCTACAGGATATCCATGTGAAGCAGTGGTATGCATGTGTGCAACGAGATCATCAGTAGCAGCCTCATGGCCGACCGTGGTGACAAAAAGCACCCATGGGTGATGGGTATGGACTTTAATTCATGGGCGATAGAGGGATGTACACCTTGCTTACTTGCTGCGATGCTGCGATGCTGCGATGCTGCAATGCTACGCCAAGCTGTGTTTTTCAGTTCACGACTGGGCGCTGCACACCGATGATGAGAAGCATTGTCGTTGGTGTCGTTGTCTTCAATTAAAAAACTGCGGTGAGGCCACACAACTACACCAACAAAAATCCACAAGACCGCGTGCACTCTCTCCTTTTTCCCGTCAAGAGCAAGTCGTACATATGTAGAGTTGGCTCACCCCTCTCTCGCTCTCCCTCCCTCCCCCCCCTCTCTCTCACTCTCTCTCTCCCTCTCTGCACCTGCAACTTACCTCACAGCCAGAGCAGTTGTGCACGGCGTCTCCCTCTCTCCCCACCAACCCGCCTTCACGTCTCTCTCTCTCTCTCTCTCTCCCTCTCTCTCTCTCTCTCTTCCTCTGCACCTGCAACTTGTAACAGTTATCCGTGTACCGTTAATGATTCGTCAGATGGCCAACCAGGCAACCAGGACACACATCCCGGTCGGGGCACATCACTACAACACCTGCTTGTTGCAGCTTCGTGGAACGAAAGATTTGTAATCCTTCCCCAGAATTTTCTGTGGGCTGAACAGAAGACTTTTGCACTGCTGTCGTGTCGAACGCCCGTTCCGGAAGGTTCCCGGGTCCGTTCCGGAATGTGCCGGCGGGTCTGTTCCTTGCACATCATAGCAGGAACTACGCGCAGGAACCGACCCTTGGAGGAACCCACCTTCGGAGGAACCGTGTAATTATCACATACACAGCAGTTGACGTGGACCATGTGGGGTTTTCGTCACCGTGTGTGCGCGTTGTCGACATGCAACGAGGCCGTGTACAAGGACCCCCGAACCGGGCAGGAGCACGACTTCTGCGGAAGGACTCACGCCACTTTGTTTAAACAGCAGCAGCAGCAGCTCCAGCACCAGAAGGCGGCGACCCTCAGGCCGGACCGATATATGCTGGTAACCACGGCCGTGCTTCCATCGGGCGCCGGGAGGAACCAGCACAAAAGCAACCGCAGGCCAAGCGGAACGCACACCTCTGCTGGGTATAACCATGGTCACCCGACCGCTGCTGCTGCCAATGGAGTAGGAACGGTAGCGTTGCCACCTGCTACGCAACAGAAGCTTCCCATCAATCAGCACACCCCGAAAGTGCCGCAAGCATTGAGGGTAACGGATACGATGGTGTTATTCTGGAACCCGCCGTGTGTGTTCACGCAGTGGGAACCGGCCCTCTTCGAAGTTGACGGGGTGAGTTCAGACGTAGAGTATCGACACAATCCTGTTAGCCCAACTTCAATGTGCACCGTTTATTTCTTGCTGCAGGTCATGGGTTCGAATCCCGGCGAACTGTTTTTTTCTCCCGATCGTTCCTGGTACCTGGTACAGTACAAAACATTGAAAGCGAAAACTCGTGAGGAACTAAGTAACTTCGACTACATTGTTGAGGAGGGTGGGGAGGGCTGAACCTTGCTCGAGATAAAAACATCATGACGGGGTGTCCCACCCGCCCCCTCCTGTGTGACCCAGGGTTGTCCAGCTAGTAGATGAAGAGGAGGAGGCAGGAGACGAGAAAACACTCACAAGCTATCTATAACGTGCTCGGAACCAAAGGCACCATCCGCTACAAAGATGAGCTTTACTGCAGGCGGCCGCAACAAAAATCTGTGTGTCTCATTTGTGTTTCATCCCATCTATTCTTCTTTCGTTAGTGGGCGAACCAGCCGGGGTCACACAGGAGGGAGGAGGAGATTTCTTTCTCCGCTTTCCTTCTGCGGCGCTTGCCCTAATTTTTTATCGCGAGCGAGGTCCGGCCGTGCTTACCATAAAGTCAAATGTTGGGTGCCCACGACATAATAATTATGTCATTATCGCCCTCGACTGCTGGGCATGATGATGTGAGAAACAGTCCCAGTTCGTGACTTCATCAATACTCGAACTCTCAAAGATTTTTGAGGTTACCAACTGAACTGAGCCATCGGGGGGAACGGTATCTGCAGAGATTACCAACATTATTATTGGAGATGGAAAAGCTACTATTCCTGCTAATACTGGTACAATACTGCCTAGGCTACGGCTGCTGTTTGTAGAAATCATAATTCACCCAATGCCGAAAAGCTTTCGTCTACTGCTTATCTTTTCTGCTATGCCTACTAGAAAGGCATCCTTCCTCTGGGCAGCGTACAACTGTGGTAAACGTGACAGGAAACAATCGTCCATCCGGTATCCAATTTTCAGTGTATTAGAGAGAAATGTTTCCTTCCTCCTCCTCTTCTCCATCGTGCTGAGTCAATTCACGTACCCCCTCGCCCTTCCGACAGGTAAAATACTGCAGCGCGGAGCAATACATGATGGCATGCAAGGCGAACGTTTTCGGCGATACCAACATTTGGAAGAAAATCATGAGCACGAGCGATCCTGCACAACAGAAACGGCTCGGGAAAGAGGTCGCCAATTATGATCACGGCATTTGGAACCTGTGCAAGGTTCAGTTTGTGCTCACGGGAAACTACAGCAAATTCACGCAGAATCCCGGCATGTGCGACCAACTTCTTGCAACCGGAGACAAGGTGAGGAAATGGGTTGGTAATGTGGTCTATGATATCTCTTCCGTGCTTGCTTGTTTTGTGCTTTCCACGCTGCTGCATCGCGACGGTGCACGTTCAGGAGGGATGAGCTCACAGGCATCTGTAGGCCACTGAAAATACAACGAATTTCTCCGTGTCTACTCCGAGGGAATCAATCTCCTCGTCGGTTCATCGGGTGCTTGCAAGGAGATGCTCACTGACTTCTTGCTACAAGTATAACCAGGAGAGCACACATCGCCAGAAAAAAACTCAAGCTCGTCTGGCAGTGACACTGGGGTGACATTAAAGATGAAAAGCGATTGGATTGAGTGACTACCACGAATATGCAAATAACTTCGCAAACGACGTGCCGCGTCTCCTTATCATCTGGCTGCCCACCACTGGTTTGCAAACGACAAAACGAATGCCGTCAACTGAATGAAGTAGCTTCGGCATCAAGTAGCAATCTACTCCTCTCCAATTACGAGGGAATCAAACTAGGAATCACCTCGTCGGCCTGAGGGGTGCCACCTCACATCCAGGGCAGCACGTTTGACAACATCCACCTGGTTTGGTACAAAACCTTCGGGCCGAGCTTCATTAGTTATGAAAAATAGTCATGCAAAGGAAGTAACCCCCCCCCCTCGGCACACTTCAGCATCAGCATGAATGCTCAGCTCTTCGCCGGGCATTTTTGCTGTCTTTCCTATGTCGTTTATCCTTGCATTCCAATGCAGTTGTCCACGCTTGGGTATGGAGCAAGAGCTGCAATGCATCTTTTGCGTTCGGATAGCTCAATCAGTTACGCCACCTACACAGGTTTTCGAGTAGAAGGGTGGACTCGCGCCCATAGCGACCCAGGGAAACGCCCAAACTCGCTGAATTGATGCAAAGTTCGTCGTTGCCTACTTTGGCCTAACCTAGCTTGTCCAGTTGAAGCGGTGCCAACCCATCAATGCCGTAATAACTAGCCTAGATCTGCAAGCTGTTCGTATCTCTGCCACCCTGTCCCTTGCTTTCATCTACATCCCGCAGATGCTAGCGGAAGCTAGTCAGCATGACAAGGTGTGAGGGATCGGGATGGACGCATTTGATCCCAACGTGGAACATCATGAGTACTGGCGTGGCCAAAATCTTCTGGGGAAGATTCTCATGTATGTGCGCAACAAGATCAGGTGGAAGCGCCCTGACCTCGCCAGCCGGCCCCAGGTGCAGGAGGCTGCTGCCGCTATGGAAGCGGAACATCGCCTCATCCCTTCAAAGGCCGGTTTCGCATCGGCGGCTGGACCGGCCATGACAGCGGATTCCCTGGGTGCATTGAACATGACGGCGTTACAGACCCAGCTGCACTGTCCCGACATGGGATTGCGCGCGCCTGTGACCGCACCCCCCACTCTCGGAGAACCCACACCAGAGGTATCCATCGCTATTGCAGCGGCACAGCAAAACAAAGCCGACACGGACGCGAAGACGCCGGGTAAGAATTGACGCGTCCTTGAGGCATCACGCGATCTCATGCCCAAAGGCATTCGGACCGACACCGCCTGGTTAATTGTTGAGCCGTTTGTCGTGACAGGACGGCAAGCGAGCCCGCCTGCCTGTAGTCATACGTGCAACCGGTTGAGCTTCCATTTGAAAAAGGTAAATTGTAGCTAGGCAGAGCAGGTTTGGATTTATGTGCACGAATACATGAATGCAATCAGGACCTGAACAGCTTCATTGGTAATTGACAGGAAGGGGTGACGGCTCTGGAGGTACAACTAAACAGGCTGTGCGGTGTACACCAATGAGATCTTACTTTGGGTTAAGGAAACCGTCATTCACTGGGCATTCGCAGCGCTGGCTCCCCGGATTCTAAGGATTGTGAGACCTGTGCGCAAGCGTTGCTTTTCCGCGGCATAAAGCTTTCCAAAGCCAGGAGTCCAGATACTTCATGATGCGGGAACTCGATGAATGTCCGGAAAATAATGTTCATTGACTAGCTCGGGATAGCCCTTTTCAAGCTGTTGCACATTTTACGATATAGAAGTCAGCATACGTTATTGGAAAATAATATGGACTGTCAGGGGTTGGTTGAAAGGTGACACTCCTGACGGCGTCCTGAGCGTAGTACTTAGATGGGTCGCCGGAACGCAGGAAGCCGATGTGTGTGTGGATATCGAAATGCAACGTCAATTAAGGACTACCCAACTGAGACCGGCGGCGTGGGGCGCAACAGAGCAACCCGCAGATATATATGCAGCGTAAAAAGCGCCAAGTAATTATGTATGGTGCTCACCTTCGCCTTTATTTCCAGCACCGCGGTCTCAACTTGAGCCTGGACGGGACCGATTGTCTGCACGTAGCATGTAGTACCTCGTCGATTGCGGAGGTGTCTGGGCTGTGCGACGGCTTGCGCCGTAAAAATAACTCGTTGACTACCGAGTTGCCTTGGTTGTGCGATGGTCTTGCAGTGCGGCCCTGTACTGTGGCAACGCAACATTCGTTGTGCTCCAGGTTCATGCCTGTCTGTATGTGTCTTCATTATTAGCATCGACCGCGCCAACCGGCTGACCAATGCCTGTGTGTGTGTGTTTTTATTATTAGCACCGACCGCGCTAACTGGCTCACCAATGAAAAGACGTCAGTCTTAGTGCGGCTGAAACACAACACACTTCTATCTGCCATGAACTGGGACCCCGTGAGGGGGCAGTGTGTGTGTGTGTGTCTTTTTTATTAGGAGCATCGACCACGCCAACCGGTGACCAATGACAAAATGTTTGTCTTAGTGCTGTGGAAAACCCAAAGTGCTTCTACAGGCCACGAATTGCGACTCTGTGACCGAGCATCATGGGGGAGTCCACGCTACTCTCCGGATTAAAGAAAGAAATTATCGAAGCAACAACAGAACAAACTGCACGTGCTCGACACGGCTGCTTCTACTTTGGATACGCGTGCGTTTTGCATTGTGTTCATCGTCGTCCCTGCTTTCACTACCGCCACTCACTCTCGTTGCCAGTTTTCCCACTACTTCTGGCAGTTCCCCTCCAGTCCTGCGACGTTTGTTGTGAAGAAGGTCATCTGGCTCAAACCCTTTACGCTCTTCCACGCCATGTTTTCCTCCTCCATCATCGCCTTCATTTTCCTTTCTTTCCTTTCCCTTTTTTAACATCGCAAAAAGGGGAAAGGACAGAAATTACGTTATCGCTTTCACCAGAGCTACACTGAAATCCAACCTATTATTTTTGTCCGTGGTGGACATGTTGATTGGTCGATCAGTACAGAAGCCATGACGCATGGCGTTTGAAAACATCACGAGTTCGTACCGACAGAAAACGAGCCAGCTCGAAGGTAAACCGTCTCCGAATCCAGTACATACAGTTGGCGCCCGCAGTTAAGAAGCGCTTATTTCAGGTCCAGCCTCGAATTCTTATTGTGGGCTATATACTCAGCGTATGTCGTTCAGTTTCATATTCCAAGTTTCATATTTGCTGATGCAGCCAAATCCTGCTGAATTTCTTAAGTCGGCAATTTCTTATTTCTCTGCTTGCATACTACACAACGTTCCAAATATACAAATGATTTGCACTGCTTTCCCCGACCCCCGTACTCAACCCCGATTCTCACTACCGACGGCTGCACGTAAGGCCACTCCCTCGAAGCGAAATGTATCCAGCGGCAACGTCTAGCTATCGCTACAAGGTCCTGTGCCCCCCTCATGAGTGAGGGCTGAAAGTAAACAAATGCATAAACACCGCATGGTGCCTCACCCGCACGCTGACGTGCCAACAACGAAAACTACCCCGTCATTATGTTGCAAGCTCCGTGAGGCGAACATTGGGGGTAGTCACCCTTTTGCGCCTCCTGCCCCCTTCCTTTGGGTCTACCTCTAGGAGAACCCACGCCCCAATTGCGACGTCTTCATCCGTGCTGTACGACTTCAACGGCATCTTCATACTAAATTTACGCGTGCTTTCGTCACAGTGCAGGATCACGCGGTAGTAGTCGTACTCCTGCCACGAAGCGGGGTGAGAACTGCGACTAATTACCCCTCCGAACCAACCCAACCCGAGTTTCACGAGAACCCCACGCTTCACTATGGGAGGGGGGGGTCGGGGGAGAGGGGGAAAGAGTGAGAGAGCTGTGGGGTTTGTTTTTTATTCGACACACTCCCCCGTAAACCCTCGTTTCTTATGTTGTGTAGCGCAGCGGTCACCGCTGTGTTTCTTATTGAGACATTTCTTATTGTGTGACCCAGATTGAGCTATGTTTCTTAACCCTATTTTCTTATTTTTCGCGAAAAAGTGAGCCTCAATTTCTTCACAAAATATTTCCTAACTGCGGGCGCCAACTGTATGGCAAGCCTTCCGGCGAAGCGATACGAAGGCAGTGGTGTGTGTGTGTGTCTATTATCGACCGTGCTAACCAGCTGACCATGAAAATACGTCAGTCTCAGTGCGGTGAAAACACAAAAAATACTTCTATTGGCCACGATGTGGAACCCTGTAAGTACCATCGGTCGCCCCGGTGGTCTAGTGATATCCTCGTCTTCCGCTAGTCGCAGAGGTCGTGAGTTCGAACCCCCATGGGGTGAAAAATTTACGAAATGTGCGGGTGAAAGCGAAATATCATAGCTGACAAGCTCTTGTGAGTACCAAACTTCGACGTTAGCGCCGTTGACGAGGGAAAGGGACGGCTGGGCCCTTCTTGCGATAAAAATGAAATTCAGCACGCACCGCAGGAGGAAGGTGGGGCATGAAAATAATTAATACATCAAAGGAAGTATTATTAAAAAGTAGCTTTGTTTGGTGTTTACCCCCTACTACTGTGTGACCCTGGATAGTTGTCTTGTATTTGTACGTAAAGATACACTGAAAAGTGTAGAACTCTACATACATACATACTATTATTTATTGTATTACGCTGAAAAGTGTAGACTAGTACACGTCTCACCACGAAAAATGGGGGCACTGTCGCCATAATAAATAGGACGAAAACACAACACACACCCAACCGAGCGTCATGGGGGATCTACGCTACTCTCCGGATTGAAGAAAGATAGATACACAGTTAGTTAGTCTATTAGACTATAACAACAGGGGAACACTGCACGTACGTACGTACGTGCTCGACTCGGCTGCTACTAAACATACTTTGGATGCGCGTGCGTTTTGTGTGTGTTCGTACCCATCTATTCTGGCGCCGGTGTACAGGTGTTTCGGCGTACAGTATTGATTACCTGGCATACCAGCCGGGGTTATACAAGAGAAAGGTCACACTAGTGGCTGGCTGAATTATTGGGATATATATGTCTACATACAACTCGGTGCACCGCGCGGTCTTTGCACCGGTCGGTCTGAATGAATGCTGAGCTGCTTCGCTCGTATCTCGTCAACCACCGAGCGGTCTGGGCTGCGCGATGGTTTGTAGAACAACAGCCTAGGGGTGCGGGAACACACTCGTTCGGGGTGCTCTGGTTTAAATACTGTGAACTGCGTGTGTACCCCGTGTACCGTGCAAACAAAAGGAGCAAAAGGAGCAATGAGTTTTTTTATTCTCGTGATCCAACTACGGACACGCAGGAACATGTTGGTTCCGCACCGTGGTCTAGTCTATATGGCATCGGAAAATTTTCGTTCCCCGCTTTTCCGTCCGTAGAGAAAGCAGTGTGGCGTAGTGTGCGTTCGTGGCGGGCAGCATCAGCAACAACAACACAGCAGGGTCCTTTTTTTTGTTACGTCAAAGCAGGTTGTCTTCGAACTCGGGAACGATCCGAGGAACACCGCGCGCCCTTGAACGCCACCAAAGAAGTTGTACGGAAATTTCTCGGGGTTGCGACGTTGCCACACCAGCCGCGACAGGAGATCAGATCGAAGAACAGATCGAAGAGGCGAGGAAGAGTAAAATTCGAAAAGCCTCCGATAGGCAACTGCC